TTTATATCTTTAGTAGTATATATGTTATGGTTAAAGCCGAAGTGCGATCGATTAAGCCTAGGTTTAGTCCGTTACAAGGTGCAACCGATTGCGGTTGTGTAAACTTAGTATTGTCCAAGGTGCATTTTAATCTCTTATCGTTGATACTACTAGATTTGCTTTCGTATTATTGACAAATCTAAAAGAAGTCATAGTTATTACCCTACTGTCGCTGATATTACTTGATAGGTTCTTTCGTGTGTTCTGCCGACTTCCAAAAAGGACACGGTACTCAATTCGACTGTATGTTTTTTTTTTGGTTTTTTTTTTTTATGTGTGTTACCTCATAACTTTTTACTATTTTTGATGATATTTAATGATTATTTTTTTATTTGATATCTGGTACTTCTCGTGTTTTCCCATATGAATTTGATCAAGGTCAAGCCAATAGTTTGTGAGTTATTCTTAATAGCTTATATTGAAGTCGGCTGTACAAAGTTTTTAATTTTAAATTATTGACAAACTTAACTGTAGCCATAATCATTTTCACTATTATTCGAAGTTTAGTATATCTAGTTTAACTCGAAAGCAACCGCCTACATCTAGTTACAGTCATGATTAAATCGAATACTGAACCTAAGTTTAATCAACCAACCGCAATCGTTTGTACCAAGTTGTAGCCGGCTAAATTTTTTTTTTTTTTATAGGAGAGGGGGCAAACGAGCATGCGGCTCACCTGATGGTAAGTGACTACCGCCGCCCATGAACAACCGCAACACCAGGGGAATTGCAGATGCGTTGCCGGCCTTTTAAAAAGGAGTAGGCTCTTTTCTTGAAGGTCCCTAAGTCGTATCGGTCCGGAAAAATCCTTGGTGGTAAACTATTCCACAAGGAAGTTGTGCGAGGAAGAAAACATCTTCTAAATCGCACAGTGGTGGACCGCCAATCATCCAGATAGTGTGGATGGTATCGGGAGTTCTGCCGCGATGTGCGTTCGTGAAATTTGGCGGCTGGGATTAATCCGAACAATTCCTCAGAGCACTCCCCATGGTAGATGCGAAAGAAAATGCAAAGAGATGCAACATCTCTTCGCAGTGCCAATGAATCGAGCCGATCGGAAAGGGCTCGGTCGTCGACGATTCGAGCCGCTCTGCGCTGGATAAATCTAGGTGTAACAGCGTTTTTGCTTTGAGTCGTGACAGATATATGAAATCTGCAGTAAATTAACGCTCAGTGAACTACATAATGATAAATAAACATTGTTAATTTAGTTAATTGTGCGATGATATCATCACAATTTTTTAAATTAAAAATGTAATCAAACTATTTGGTATTACATATACTTGTAAATATGTATGTTTATATTTTTATTTTTTATAATTATTATTAGTAAGAAAACGTTATATTTCTTACTAAACAAATATTAATTAATCACTATAATTTTATTCTGTATATTAGTAGCATTTATATGCATAAATTAAAAATGGAAAAAAATCACACCCCAGACCAATATTTGTAGGCCATACAACTTAGGCCTTATGTCTAGGTGGCTCCTGAGCTCCTGACTCCTTTCTGCTTAGAAGTCCGTGAGGGTAGTTACAACTCTCTTATCTATTTTAGCTGCCGAATAACAGTGTTTACACAGCTGAGTTCCGGTCTTAAGGGTATAGACAGCCAGTATATTTACAGTATGTGAGGCATTTCATGTTGCTCCTCAGAGGTGAGAACGCATCATACAGCCTTCGTAGCCTTCTTTGTTTGAGTTTGCTGCAGTTGTCCATGGACGGCTGAAGCTACTAAGAATCAGGTGGACTGTAAGTTAGTTTGTCACTGCAGTTTTATAAAAAAAAATACAAACTCTTGTACCGTACGTGTCGTACTCGCAGTCAAATGCTTAGTCACAGAACTACCGACCGGTTAAAATTGCCTACGTTAGATTTTCTCATATTTGACCTTGAAAAAAAGTAAGGTTAAGGCCTGAGTAGACAACAACCAAAGGCTGGCTTATACCAGCTAGATTCGATTTTACCAGGACCGATATGATTTAGGGACATTCAAATAACATCCTACTTCTTTTTAAAATAAGTTCTTTATTTCCAAAAGGTAGTACAACCAGATATTTGCTTAACACTTAATAAAGCTAATTTGTTACATATATTTGAAACATAGCATCTGCAGCCGAACTAGGAGACCTTTGCATCAGCTGACAGCTGACAGCTGATGCACAGGTCTCCTAGCTGTTTAAAAGGCCGTAAAAGTTGCATGCACGTTGCCGCCATTACTATAAAAAAAAACAGCGTGAATTTTTGATTATACTGCACATTTTGCTAAACGCTCTTTACTGAGGCCTTGCCCAAAAAGCAAAGCAGATAATACTACCGCATCGGAGACAGGTATATAACTGGTTCTTGGTAATGTCCCTATGTGTGGGAATGAATTGCGCACATTACATTTTAATCTCATTAGATATAAGCATAGTGCTTTCATGTCGGTCGCAGTCGGTCAAAACGCCGTCTGTAATTAATTTAGTTGCACCGTCCGACCAGTCGTTGAATACGTAACCTCATTTTATAAATCCTTACTCTTAAACCCGTTGCTCCGATTAAGTTATTTATACTTATATATAAGTTCAAGATGGTTAAGTAATGTTTAAGTGTACGGAGTACGGAACTAAAACTAATGGGGTCTGGGTATACGCAATTCTCCTTTGGTACTGTTGGTCGCGAATTGGACGTAGTGAAGCAAATAAGATCCAACCCACAAAAGGCTACATGTGAAATATATAATTTTTAAAATGTATGTGTCCATACCTATAAAATTATAATGTCTGGCTTCGATATATATGTATATCACTATCCATTGGTAGTTCCTTTTTGAGTAATTACGTCCATTTACTTAAAACATTGTAATCATAGTTGGAGTTTGACTGGCATATTTTTCTTTTGTTAGCCATTTAAATGAAATGTTGGTGAACCGTATTAACCCTATCCCCGTCCCATGAATCATATATGAACATTTCAGTTGTTTAACTATTGTGTCTTTTTCGTGGACAGGGGAAGCGAAACTATGCTCAATCGGGCATGCAATCTTGAAAGGTTTAATAAACCACAGTGGGCAGGCTGTGTGATCAACGTATAGTCGATGAATTCAAAGGTGAGGTTGGTGATTGAAAAACAAGTTACTATGTTTTGTTAAAGAATACTAGCCTCGCGTGTTAACACGCTATTAGATTATTTTCATTCCTGCCAGTAATGTTAACTACACGCGGTACACTGTGCTAAATAAAGTATGCTCTGGAATTCCAGTATATCAAAGTATTCTGTGCTTTGATAACCGAGTGAAAATCCGACCAAACATGCTGAATTCTACATACTAATAATGGGAAGCAGCATTGCAAGTGCGGACGTGTCGGCATTACGATTACCAATTAGTATACGCCTGCCGAGAATTGCGTAAATTGGTGCATTTTTCGAAATGTTTATTCAGCAGTGAATTCTAAAGATCCTTATAAGGATAATAATTTTAATTTTATATTTGCACAAATGTTCAGGAATTTGGACCAAGGTCCCTAGATAGATATAATAAACTAGCTGGTACCTGGTGCTTGCTGCCACAGAAGAATTAATTCTCGTTTTAAATTTGGAAGTTTAATTAGCAATGATAATAATACATTGACTGAAGTTGAATGATATATAAGTTAATCGTACTATGCCTAGACCTTCACGCGAATGCAAGCAATAAGTGGAAAAAGTTTTAGCACTACCTGAACAACATGTGTATATATATATATATATATATATATATATATATATATATATTTACTGTTGCTTCGGCAGAAAATCAACACTGCGGTAACTCTAATACTGTAGCATTATATTGAGTCGTTAGCCTTTTGTTTGCTGTAATCAAGAGTGAAACGCGCTATTTTTTTACTATTTAGCTTGGTTGGGAAGTATTAATGCATCCACCATATAGTCCTGACCTTGCATTCTCAGATGTTCACCTGTTTCGGTCTTTTCAGAATACTTTGGGTAGTGTTAGGTTAATATCAAGGCAGGACTATCAAAACTACTCGTCGTATTTTTTTTTAATCAGAAGTCCCAAGATTTCTACAGCAACGGGATTATGTCACTAGCTACAAGATGGCAACAAGTTATCGAACAAAATGGCACCTATATATTATAATTAAATGTAATTAAATTTTGCAAAACAAATGTTTTGAATTTGTATATAAAATGCGAGGAAACTTTTTCCCCTATACAGAATTTAACTTTACTTTGGTTTTTATTGTCTATATTTACTAAATAATGTAATTATTTATCTTCTTTACGAGCAGTGATTTTCTTACTTTATTGTGTACTCAGTAATTATTTCACCATGTGGTGGCAGTGTGAGAATATTTGCTACCCCAAATAGTCCCGCGGGTGTAAGAGGCGACAAAGGGAATCAAACCAAGAGATGGGCAGCAGCGTCTTCCTAATAACAACCAAAAAACCTGCGGTTGCCTATCCGCCTGCCAAGTGTGGAAACTTGGTAGGGGAAGGGAGGGCAAGAAGGTTATGGCAGGCAAAACGGATATTTTCTCTATACGAATAGTAATGTTAGACAGAGAAAGAAATAGTGCGTCATGGTGCAGTCTAGCTTATTGCTCGCTGATTCACTCACTCGCGATGCTCCGCGTGGTATGTTTGTGGAAGTAGTGACGTGTTATTGTTTTTGTTACGCGAAATTAAAAAAATAAGGTAAGTTGTGACATCATTTTATTACATTCTCTTAAGCTTTTATTATAAATTAATTTGTCGATGTTGTAAGGTATTTATCTAACGTTATTATAATGATAATTTTGATAAAAAGTAGTAACTGCGAGCGAAAGAAAGTTTAGGTTATTACTATAAGAGAGTAGAGGGCAAAACGGAACGGGCAAAACGGATCGAGATCCGTTTTGCCCTACCTTAAATACGAATAAGTTGAGTTTATTTTTATTCAATATTAAATGTAATTTGTGTTATTGCTACTTGCAGATGGTTAACAACTACATACGGAAGACCTATAGGGCCTCTTGGTCGGAGGAAACAATGAAAACAGCAATTGTAGAAGCAAAAAAATCCTCAATAAAAAGTGCATCTCAAAAATATGGAATACCGTATACTACGCTGCAACGTCATGTAAAATCTAATAGTAGTATAAAGAGTCTTGGCAGTTTTAAGCCTGTATTTAATGAAGAGCAAGAGAAAATTTTAGAAAAACATTTAAGGGATCTAGATGCACTGTTTTACGGTCTGTCGAGAAATGAGTTTAAGGAATTAGCTGGTGAGTATGCTAAGCGACAGAATATACAAACGCCATTTAAAAACAATATTGCCGGTAAACAGTGGTTTAAAAATTTTTTAAAACGACATCCCGATATTGTTTTAAGAAGCCCAGAGCCGACATCGGTAGCCAGATTATCAGCTTTTAACAAACCAGCTGTGACCCGATTTTATGATTTGTTGGAGACCATTGTCCAAGAGTATCATATCACTCCTAATATGATATACAACATGGATGAGACAGGTGTGAGGACCTCGTCTACAAAACCACCAAAAGTACTTTCAGTACTTGGTAAGAAGCAGGTCGGCATGGTGAGCAGCTTAGAGAGGGGTACTTTAACAACAGTAATCTGCTGCTGTGGCGCAACAGGCTGTTACGCACCTCCCCCATTTTTTATTTTTAAAAGAAAAAGGTTTCAGCCACGTCTACTAGATGGGGCATGTCCTGGTAGTGAAGGCACCATATCAGATAGTGGATGGGTAAGCGGAGCAATTTTCTTAGAGTGGCTAATAGCTTTTGTGAGTTACGTGCGTCCTACGAGTGAATGTAAGGCTTTATTAATTCTAGACAATCATGAGTCTCATAAATTTTATCCTGCTTTAGAATATGCAAGAGATCATAACGTTATATTTTTGTCTATTCCTCCACACACATCTCATAAGTTACAGCTACTTGATGTTGCTGTCTATGCACCATTTAAGGTGGCTTTTGAAATTGAGATAAATAAGTTCCAAAAGCAGTAACCAGGGCGAGTTATTTCGCAGTATGAAATTGTACGTCTCGTTACACCTGCTTACTTAAAAGTAGCAACACCAAAAAACGCCATGAGCGGATTTAGAGCAGCCGGAATTTATCCGTACGATAGAAATGTGATAGATGAAGCACTATTCGCACCTTCTACTGTCTACGAGGCATCAATTTCACACTCTGCAGGCGAAGACCACAGGACTCCCACGCCTTCTCAATTAGAAACAACTGTTTCACCTATGACAACAGATACGATCGCCATACCACATGCTTCAAAAACACCACACATTCTGTTCACTGTACCACCAGATGAAATTACTTCACCAGTTTTGACGACACCACCTATTTTGGCACACGTACACACACACGAGATCATTCCTCCAGAACAGACAACACCTGTTTTGAAGACTCCAGAAAAGACCCAATCTACGTTGACAGCTCCACACATTCCCACAGTACCAAAAACCATTGATTATTTTACTTCATCCAGCGCGGAAATACTCAAAGAAATTCATCCATTGCCCCAGCAACAGTTTAAAAAACAAAGTAGGGGTAGAAAATTACAAAAATCTGAAATATTAACCAGCACACCTGTAAAAACCATACAAGAAGATAAATTTAAAAAAACAAGTTTTAAAATAAACCTTGGAGCTTCTGTGTCTGGATTAAAGAAGTCAACAACCGGCAAGAAAAAAGACTTTTCGAAATTAAAGACAAAGAGTGCAGAAAAGACAAGACGAGGTAAAGAAAATGAAGAGAAAAAATATTATTGTACTGTGTGCAAGGACCCCCATAGAAGACTGGATTGAATGCTCTCAATGTCGCGAATGGACGCATGAGAGTTGTTCGTCATACTCGGGACATGGTTCCTATTTTTGTGATTTTTGTAGTGATTAGTTTCCGAATGCTAAGGGATATATCCGTTTTGCCCTCGAAGTATATCCGTTTTACCTACACTAGTCTTTTACCCGTTACCCGAGACTTTTAAAAAAAAATTAAATGACAATGAAGATGTTGATTTTTATATTTTTTTATTTTTATTTTTAAACATTATTAACCAGAGTTTGGTTTTGTTTTAATTTCAGTACATGTTATTTGATTATAGAATGTATTTTTATTATTCAACCTTAACGGATCCTTCTTGCCCTCCCTTCCCCTAAATATTCACCCTATGGGGTCATCTATATCGAAGGCCTATGTTCAGCAGGGGGTTTTTGATACGCTGTAACTGTATATTATAATTATGGAGATAAAAATGTTAAGTTAAAGAAAACTAGACAATATACCGCGTAAAGCATCAGTTTCTTTTAAATTTTAAAATAAAAACCCAAAATGAAATATAATTTCAATGTATAAATAAAAAGCGTACTAAAATATAGGGTGCTTAACTTTGTGAATCGTAATAAACGAGCAGTTTAATTTAATAGCGCTTCAACAGTCAAAGACGAATAATTTAAACATACACATCCGATACTAATTTATTCACGATCCAGCCAATCGGGTGCCGGTGTTGTGCAATCGTCGATTCCTCACGCAGTCGACTCTCTGCTCGATCGTGGCTAGTGATTCCTCTGATTGACCAGTACAACTTAAGCTATGGCTTTTTATTGGTTATATACTTTAACGCTGATGTGACATTTGTGGGGGAGGCCAAGTTATATTGGTACAACGCGGTGTTCCGGGCGGGAGCTCAGCGCGCAGCCTCCGCAGTATCGAACGACCGCGCCCGCTCCCACGTGCTTCATTCACCGGCTCACCACGTGCACTCCGCTATAGTAATGCTAAAGTAAGCCGTAGTAAAAAAATAGTACGCCGTATACATCGATTACGTTCTATATCTGTCTGTTTTACATCCTCTGCGATTTAGGTTATTTCACGTACGCTCCAATTGAGAATAACTAAATTCAATTCTGTACGATAAACAATTTATTACGTATTATTGTATTTATCATTTAAATTAAAGAAAAGCTAGCTATAAATCAGTATTTTCATAGGTCGTTACATTTCGATAGCATCGTTCGGTAGGGCAAGTTCCATGCCTACATAGGTAGAAAAATCGAAAATTAAGTAGGGTCCAGACCATTTGAGGCATATTATTGTTATCTATTTCCAAGTAGGTACATTGTATCGTTTTTTTTTCGGTATAGTGAAGCCGAACAATCGCGAACTGATAGTAACTACGCTTTGTCAACAACTTATCGCAGCATCTTTACTTAAACTATGAGTTATGATTAGGATACTACTGTGACAGTTTGTCATTCTTAGTATCATAATTTTAATTTTAATTTTCAAATACAAATTACAAACAAATAAGCCTATGGACAATTTACTTAAATCTCATAATTTACATTATTTGATATTACACTTCATATGAAATATATTATATTACTCTTATATCGAAAAGCCGCGGTAGCTCAGATGGTTAACGCTCGCTGTAAGCTTCACAGTACTCGAGCAACCGGGGTTCGATCCCCGCCGGCACCAATGAAATTGTTAATTGCAATTTTAAGTGCTGATTTACCACGTGCTCGGCGGTGAAGGAAAACATCGTGAGGAAACCTGCATGTCTGAGAAATAAGAAAAAAATATTTCGAAGACACGTGAAGTTCGCCAACACGCATTGGGGCAGCGCGGCGGTCATTTATTTGCCCTAAAACCCTCTCAGAGATGAGAGGCAGCCTGCGTCGCTCCACCCTCGACGATATGCGAAAACGGACTGCGACAGAGCTCGTGGGTGATTACAGGCCGACGGAATAGGCACGCGAATATATTCAGTTTTGGGGAAAAATTATATTTTTATTTAACTTAAACGGGGAATAATAATAAAACTCAATTAAAAATATTAATATTTTTAAGACCTATTTTTTAGTGTAAAAACTATTTAAAGAGCTTGTGCCGTTTTGGAGAAATTTTGCAAAATATCACAAAGATAGGTACTATTTGGGCATTTTTTTTCTAATAAGTGGTTGACAGAAATACAATTTTGTTCAATTTATTAAATTCTCTTCTATCAACCTGTATTTTTCTTTGTGAATTAAATGTACAGTTAGTGTGATTTTTTTACTTAAATATCCAAGAATTTAGGCATTTTATGAACAGGTCTCTTAGGGCCTTAAGGCATGATATTCCTTTTTCAAATTCATTTGTTTCTCTATTTTTATTCTTGCCTTTCTACATGGAAATTATTTCCGAAATTTGCGTCTCAACCGGCACACAATATTAATGACTTATTGTACGGACTAATGAACGAACTGTGCGTAATTGGTTCAATCGGTTTCGTTTGTGAAATTTTGACCGATAATGAAGCTGATATTGGTAGCAAATCCATTTCAGACTATGGATGAGCATGCATCTTCTTTTGATATTAGTGTCAAAACGATATTAGATCATTTGCGGAAAATCGGTAAAATAAAGAAGATTGACAGATTGGTATCTCACGCTCTGAGTGACCTACAGTTGATGATAGACGTTGGCAAAATTAGCAGAGATAAAGTTAGACTTATTCATCTATCATATTCTCCTGACCAACTTAAAATTTTTTCGAAGTTTGGATTCCTCAGGGGTCCGTTCTCTCCGCAACTCTTTTCCTGCTGCAACATAATGATCTGCTTATGCCCGGTATCTGTGACGATATATATGCAGACGATAGCACAGTTGTGGAGAGATATCAACCAAGTCCTCGAGCGATTCAGGATCAAATTCAGTCCGAAAGATAAGTCATGGTAGAACGTGTGAATCTCACACTACAGGCAGTCTCCGAAATTCTACGCCTTCAAAACACAAGCGTGTCTCTTCACTGCAAAAAGGAGCCAGCTCATCTTGGCTCCTTCTTTCCGAAGTGTGTCAATGGAATGCACCGACTGCCTTCAGCTGTTGGGAGTTAAGATACGAGTATCCTCAAATCTGAATTTCGGACGATTCATTGGGTTCAAGGCCAAAGCAGCTGCAAGGAAGCTAGGAGTCCTTGCAAAGGTGCGGCGATACTTTTCCGAACCAGTTGTAAATAAAAAAATGACTTTCAATAAGTATTATGTAATAATCAATATTGAATAAAAAATAATTCTATTCTATTCCATTCTTCACGCCGGGACAGCTGCTTACCTTATATAAAGGGCAAGTCCGGTCGTGCATGGAGTGTTGCTGCCATATATGGGCTGGTGCTGCAAAATGCCACCTAGTAGCTTTGGACTCTATGGAAAGGCGTGCTATGAGGCTTATTGGTGACCCAAATTTGGTTAAAGCCAATCTTACCAGTCTCGAACACAGGCGCAAAGTAGCCAGCCTTTCGGTTTTCTACAGTATGCATTTCGGAGAGTGTGCGCAGGAATTGCATAATTTAATTCCTCCCTCTCTCTTCCACCATCATACAACCAGGCGTTCGGACCTAACGGTTTGCTACAGCGTTCGTGATGCGTACAGAAAAGGAGTAGAATAAGTTGCCAACATTTGTGTTTCCATCCGATTACAATGTGGGTGTCTTGGGCGCAAGAATGAATAGGCTTTTGTTAAGTCAGTGCGCTTCACCATCTTAGGCTACATCACCACTCACCATCAGGTGAGATTGTAGTTAAGCGCTGGCTTAGTAAAATATAAAAAAAACCAACATGCTTACACTTTTTTCGAAGTTTAAATAACTTCTTGACAGGCAAAAAATTCAAGAAGCAATGACTTTATAGAATTCCATCTTGATTATAGTGACAGATCGTAGCATACTTCTATAGTAAAGTTATCAATCATCAACAACTGTTACTATTACATCCTGTGCAATCTCCACTGCTGAACATAGATTACAACTGTAAATTGCCTTATAGGGTGAATATTTTTCATAGTTGCTACGCTTGGCAGGTCGGTTGGCAACCGCAGTTATTATTTTTGTAGTTGTTATTAGGAAACAGCTGCTGGACATTTTCTGGTTTGTTTCCCTCTGTCGCCTCCAACGACACCCATGGGACGATATGGGGTATTGGATATACTTATATCGCCACTACACGGTAGC